AATGTGTAAAATCCATAGAAATTGAGTTTCTGGCTCAAAGGATAATCAGTGCTGATTCTGTTTTCTTTACAAATGGCCTTTGAAGAAATTATGCTTCCACCAACAGTGTGTTAGATCCTTTCAATTCTTTAGTTTATTTTAAAATGGTTCATTATCATTTGTATATACAATTTCAAAGTTTACATGTGGCTGAACCTTTTCTGTTATGTTGATAAGACATCCTCAGTTTGCAATCAACTGCATACTGTGTTGCTGGTTTCTATTGTGGCTTGGTAAGTGTGCTTCACATATCGAAGGCATTACTCGTAGTTGCACTTAAAACAGATTTTCTCATTATATCATCACCTTTTAGTTCTGTTTCTGATATTTTCTTATCATGAATTTTTAATTTGGGGGAAATTAAAATTAAATATCACCTTTGTTTGATTAAATCTATATTTGGTGACTTACATTAGAATTTAATCTTAGGATTAAAGTTTTTCCTTGTTTCCTCTAGAATTTAATTATAATGTCTTTTTCACATTTGCATATGAACTTTATTGGAAATAGTGACATGAAGGTTTAACCTTATCACTTATCTTAGTTGTTCCTAAACTCTAGGCAAATGGTCATCTTTCCTAGCTTAGGTTATACTGAACTAACTTCACATGTTTTTGAATTTACCAGTTTAGAATTCTATATGTTTTGACATTTTTATTGCCTGATTAAATATTTAGAGACAGAGTCTTGCTGTGCCACCCAGGTTGGCCTTGGACTCGTGGAAGTCGACCTGTCTCAGCCTCCATCCTAAGTGCTGGGACTACAGGTGCTGCACTTGCTGCCAGCATTCTTGATTTTCTGCCATGAGTTCACCTTTCTATCTGTGAGACTACCTCATTCGCGGTAACTTCAGAGCAGATTCCACAGCTGGTAACAGTCCTTCTCCCTCACAACTTCGGATTATAGTTTCCCTTCCCTCCACTCCTCCAGGTTCCTTCCCGCTTCTCCCCTCGGGATACACTCCTTTTCTGTCCCTCATTAGAAAAGAACAGGAATCTAAGCCATAACAGCAAAACATGACAAACTAAAATATACTGAGATCAAACAAAAACTATCACATAGATGTTGAACGAGACAAACCAAAGAAGGAAAAAGTCCAAGAGAAGGCACAAGAGACAGAAGAAGTCAGGAGTCCCATAAAAATACTAAACTAACTGAAAGCCGTAATATATACACAGAGGCCCTGGTGCAGACCCATGCAGGCCCTGTGGTTGCTGCTTCAGTCTCTGTGAGTTCATATGAGCTTTGATCATGTTGATTTAGTGGACCGGGATCTCCTGGTGTCCTCCATCCCTTCTGGCTCTTACATTCTTTCTGACTCCTCTTCCACAAGATTCCCTGAGATCTGAAGGGAGGGATTTGATGGAGACATCTCATTTAGAGCTGTGTGTTCCCAGGTCATCTTAAAAGTTAAGTCTTGAGAGCTCTAAACTTTCCTTGAGCTACCACTGTAGTGAAGCATATTCTCTGGCTTCGGATGATTTCTAGATGTTCTCAGTTCCAGATTTCTTCTTTAGCGGAAGTGCAAAACTTTTCCTGCTTGTCTTCTATATACTATACATTTTTATATTTCAGGTTTGGAATTAACTTCCAGTATTACTCAATTATGATTTGAGAATGTGGTTTGTACTGCCTCTGGTTCAATATATAGACAATTAAAAAATATTCAGTGGGGTCCTGAAGAGAAAATGTAGTCTTTGTTAGTGTTTTCTCTTATTTAACTTGTAAGTTGAAACAGTCTTACATTTGTTTCTGACTTTGTTTGCCTTTACATTGTCTACAGTTTGCTTATGATGTTTGATTGTGGTTTTTTTACATAAATATCCAGGACTTGTGGGTATAACAAGATAAGCCTTTAATGTTGTTCTTATGTGACTGACAAAGGAAGATTTCAAGTTCAAAGCCAGCCTAGACTAATATAACAAGACTCACTCTCTCTCTCTCTCTCTCTCTCTCTCTCTCTCTCTCTCTCTCTCTCTCTCTCTGTCACGCACACACACACACATACACACACAGTAGGGGGCATATACATATATGCATGTGCTCATACCTAAAGAGAAAGGAGGGAGAAGGGAAAGAATTAGTATAATTAGATTTTTATCATATATTCCAGTTGTTAGCACTGTGGCGGTGTTCCTTTGGGAGAGGAATGAATGCAAACTAGAATCGGAGTAATTAAGAATAATAGATAATAATAATCAGCAAGGGCCCCTCTATCTGATATATATTGGTCATCCTTTTGCTGTCCACTCACTATATTTTCTGGAAAGGATATGCTAGGTTGGATAATTTGTGCATTAGGAGTCTCCAGGTAGGCTCCTGCAGAGTGAAGATAAGTGGGCATGAACTTTTGATCCATGTGGGAACTAGTGATGAGGGGGATGATGGTTTGTTCCCATTTTATCTCAGCTTGGTTAGCATTATGTATACTGTTATTTTTAAAGAAATAGTCCCAGCCATCATCATGTCTGTTGAATGCATAGTCTCTCTGCTGATAATTGAACCCTTGGAAGTTCCTGGCAAGTAGGCAGGACGCAGCATGATGTTGATTGCTCGCAGGCTACCATAGGAAAGCAGATCATAAGTCTAAGGAGCTTGCCTCTTTATAATCAGCTGAAGAGAGTCATTTCATTTTGATAAATCTCACCGTATACAAGTCTGACATTTTACAAATATTCAAATAAAACTGGACTTTGTCCTTTGAGATTATCTTTTATAACTTAAAAGTATTATTTTTCCATACAAAAGATCATATTTTAAATTTCAAAATTTTTCTTATATGAATATATAACATAAAATACTAAGTATTTATACACATGTATAGCACCGATCAAAAGTTGTCTCAAAATATTTACAGAATAATTTTTATCTCCTTGTTTATAATGTTTTATATAGATGATGTTTTTATAGTCTACCTTATTTCTTGTTTTCAAGACAGGAAATCTGTAGTATATATAACCCTGATTATCCTGAAATTTACTATGTAAACCAAGTTGGCCTCAAACTCACAGAGATCCATTGCTCTGCCTCTTGAGTACTGGGGTTAAAGGTGTGTGTCACCATGCTTGATTAGTTTACTTTATTTCTAAATTTACTGGTTGGTTCTGTTAACTAATAACATACTTTTACTTACAGTTGTTTCATAAGATGCTTGCTTATCCTTTATATATATACATATATGTATATATTTTCGTCATATTCTTCCCCTCTCCCAAGTTCTTCAAGATCCTCTCCTCCTTCCTACCTACCCAACTTTAAATTATTTTTCAAAATAACAAACAAAAACCCAATATAACAACAAAACCAAGAAAAATAAACCATGCTACCACACACACACACACACACACACACACACACACACACACACAAACTATAGCCAAATGAAATCACACAACAAAACTATGAAGTCCATTACATGTTGGTCAGCTGCCCCTGACCATGATGCCTGCCCTAGAGTGGTTGACACACCCATTGAGTGTTCTAGTAGGTGTGACAGTTCAGCTGTTAGCCTTCCAGTGTGTCTAGATTTACACTCACTCACTCACTTTAATATAACAAAATAAAATATTATAAGATAAAACAAAAACACTCATAGCAAAGTTGGATAAGACAAACAAATAGAAGGAAAAGAGTCCAATAGAAGGCACAAGAGTCATTCTCACACTCAGGAATCTCATAAAAACACTAAACTGGAAGCCGTGTGTGTGTGTGTGTGTGTGTGTGTGTGTGTGTGTGTGTGTGTGCGTGCGTGCGTGCGTGCAGGAAGGACCTAGTACAGACCTGTCCATGCCCTGTGCTTGCTGCTTCAGTCTCTTTGAGTTCATATTTGCTCATGTTAGTAACTCATCTTTATCCCATCCTCAATTTTTGGATAGCAGAATAGTTTGTCTACTTTTTAAAGTTAGTTTTCAAAAAAAGCCTATAATTTAACGGTTCTTTTTGAAATTTCAGATTGTGATGTGATCAGAAGAAAATATTTTTAAGCAAAAGTGGTAGATCCTTGTGAATAACTTAGTACTCTTAGCACACATGTAAGAACAGGGAAGTTATATGTAGTTCATTTCTAATCTATCTTGCATCAAATAGGCAGTAGGAGAATGGAAGTGGGGAGTGAGATACAAGAAAACCTCGTGCACTTTTCATAGTAAAGTATCAATTTGTGCTGATTCTGAGTAGTAAGCGGCGCCACGGGCATTCATTATGGAAATCACTGTACATTTCTAAGCACTAGAAACCTGCGTAGTAAAACAAGAGAGAGAAATCAAATAATGCAGGAAAACCACGATTGTAAGTCCTAGATTATTGCATTTCCAGGCTGAGTGCCATAAATAGGTCGGGGTACTATGTGTTTATTTTTGACTTTGGCTAAACAGTTCAAGTTCATATCCCAGCTCTACCTCATAACCTTTAGAACCCTGGACAAGTTACTTATCCTAACAGTGTCTCATTTTCCCAAACTCTAAAATCCAAACTGTAAGAACTACCTCCTAGGTGTATTGTAATGAGCAAATACGTTTGAACATAGAAAGCACTGAAAGTATACACTAGTGTCATAGTTCTCAGCCTGAGTTGTGACCCTTTCGGGGTCCCCATATTAGATTTCCTGCATGTCAGATATTTACATTACAATTCATAACAGTGGCAAAATTACAGTTATGAAATGGCAACAAAATAGTTTTAATGATTGGGGGTCACCGCCACATGTATTAAGGGGTCTATATTAAAGGGCCACAGCATTTGGAAGGTTGAGAACCAATGCACTAGTGTTTAGTACTTAGTTTATGCATAAAATATGTTTGTTGTCTTCATAATTATATTCTTATCAGCGTGGCCATTACACTTACCACATCTATTAGAGTTTTGTAGTCATTTTAACTTTGCGGACATGATGTCATCCGAAATATGGGCCTATCCACCACATGCTTCTCGTGGTCAATGCTTCTCTGTTGTTTTGCAGGGAAATGGCTCATTCTAAGGCCAGCTTTTCATGGTCTGCTCCCTTCCACCCTTGCCTTGAAAACCCAGCACTGGACTTGTCAAACTACAGAGCAATCTCATCTCTTGACCTCCTTGGAGACTTCAAACTCGCCTTGAACAAAACAGAGGAATCTTCAGTTTATGAAGATGGGAGTTCTGTTGCCTCCATGCCCCGCCCACTGCGAAACCGAGCCTTCTCAGAGAGTCACATCAGCTTGGAGCCTCCAAACCCCCGGGCCTGGGCGATGCCTCAGAGGGAGCCATTTACTAAAGGCAGTGAGACTCAGCCAGAACTCCTTGGGGCCCGAAAGAAGGCTTTCCCTCCCCCTCGTCCTCCTCCTCCCAACTGGGAAAAATATAGGCTTTTCCGTGCAGCACAGCAGCAGCAGAAACAGCAGCAGCAACAGCTGCAGCAGCAACAGCAGCAGCAGCAGCAGCAGCAGCAGAGGTGTGATGAGGAAGATGAGGAAGTAGAGGAGAAGAAGGAGCAAGAGCAGGAGGAGGAGGGACGGAAAGAGGAGGACCTACCACCCCAGTATTTTAGTTCAGAAACCACTGGTTCCCATGCCCCTAATCCAGATGAGGGCCTGGAACAGCCACAATCCCTGAAGGTGGGCCACCTGGAGGCCTCAAGGCAGGCCTCACAGAGTCTCCCAGAGCAAGAGGTCTTTGCTCGTCATCCCAGTGATTTTGTGCCTCCTGTAAGGGGCCACACTGGAGCCCAGCCTGAGAAAGCTCAACCTCCTTGCTATTATGGCACTCGTGGATTGTGGAGGACAACTGAGAAGGAAGCCACTGTGACCCCAAAGTAAGTGTTTGGGAAAGACAACGGGTCCCAGAAAAGGCAGCCAGCAACATGAATTAGATTTCACCTCTGTTAGTTAGCAACTGTATAACACTGATCTTTTACCTGGAGAACAGGTGTGATAGATAATGTACCTGTTCTACCAGGTTCTGACTATTAGCATATTGCATGTAAAGGACATAAACAGATACTTGGGGTGCTCAGGAAATGAAGTTCAAGGTTGTATCCCCATCATTAAGAAAATATGCTATTGCGTCTCAATGGATCTTTAAGGTATACACCAATATCTGACTGCCAATCACGAAAGCATAAGCCATTCTTGGCTTGTCCTTGGCCTTTTCTAAAGCCTGGCTCCTACCTGCTCTAGCAAAGTAGCCTGGGGCTCTGAATCATTCCCCCAGCCCCAGAAGAAAGAACTAGATGCTCTGATGGGTCCTTAAACAGCCAAGGGCATTCTTTGTCCCTTCCACTTTCTCCTCCCTCTTGTTCTCCTGCTTCTTCAGATTTGCTTTGCCAGACATTAGGCAGCAGTTGACAGGGCTAGCTGGCTGAGCTGAGAGATCAAAACAGGATTGTGGGCTGCCACTGACTTCTATGTGAGTGTTCATCTGTGCATCACTCTGTGTGTGTGTGTGTGTGTGTGTGTGTGTGTGTGTGTGTGTTCATGATCTCCATTGCTCCCTGTTTGGCCTCTTAACTCTCCGTTCCCACTTGCAAAGCTCCACTGGGGATGAACAGGCAGGTGCCCCCTAATTGTTTTCTTTAAATCCTTTTATAGCAGGACCTTGCCTGAGAGTGGTTGCTATTAGAAATACCTTGTTTATGTGACTTTTATGGACAGGCTAATCTTGTTACTTGGTTATCTGGCGCTGATTGAGCAGTTCTCTGAGGTGCCATAAGGAAAGCATTTATAGATCCCAGCTCCTGGGCTCTGTGAGAAGCCCTTAGCAGACCACATGTGGCTCCTTCTCAACTGGAAAATATGTTGCAGAAACTAGCTGTGTTGTGCTTGTTATGTATTACAGCTGGAAGATTGAAAGGTTACCTGGCAGATAGTAGGCATTGAACTAATATTTCAAAGGCTAAATAGATAATCAAATAAGTTTTCAATTAGGCACTTACTATGTGCCAGACACTGCCTGACATTTAATGTACATTATTTAAGTTATTCTTCCCAACATCTCTGTTGGCCGTTATCATCCCCATTTGACAAATGAGGTAGCTGAAGTTGAGCAAAATAAGGGACTAATTAATTCAGTATTGTGCAGCAAAGACTCAAATCCAGATCTATCTGCCTCTAAATCAAGGCAGCTGCAGCTACTGCAGCATCCTTGTCCTCGTCATCCACGTCCTCCTCCTCATCGTCCTCCTCCCCCTCCCTGCTTCCTCCTCCTCCTCTCCTCCGTCACATTGTGCAGCCTCTCTCCGAAAGATCTTGTTCTTCCATCGTCTCTCTTACAGGATAATGTATACCAGAAGTAGCAGTTCTAGTTCTATGACTCTTTATTGTCCTGACACCTGAGCCACTGAGAAGGAAATCACTGTTTCTAAACATCGTATAACCTGCTCCAGTGATTTGTTTGTAAGAAATTATAGGATGCAAGGGAATACATTCATTTGCACCTAACCTTGGCTTCTAGCTGCAAAAATCAATTCTAAATGTTTCTTCTGGTGATAAAAATTTAAGGAAGAGCATCAGTTCCATCCTAGGTGAAGTTTCTTCACCTGTTTACTGTGCACTGAGCCCGATTTTAAGTATTTTCATGAACAGATCATTCCTGACATGTGATATGCTCGTTCTTAGGGTTTACAATGATGGAAAAGCAACATGCACTCAGTAGAAGTGGCATTTGAAGGTGGGGAGTGTTGGCCTTTTCCTAATCTAGTAAGGGTCTTACAGCAACCTTTAGTGGTACTGAGGAGCAGCAGAGGCAGTCAGCAAATGATGAGAGAAATGACTGCTACTCTACAATGTGCTGTGCTAAGCTGTATGCTTTGGAAGTTTAGGTATAGTATAAGTAGTTTTCATTTAGGATGGGTTTATTTGGGCATTGATTTAGTCTCCCCTAACGAACCTAGTGGAGAGTTATAACTACTCTCCTCTACCTTTCAGATGAGAAAAGTGAAGCTAAGAAAGAAACTAACTTTCTCACAAGATCGCAGGCAGTCCAACTCATAGCACACAGCATCATCTCAGTACTGTCGGCCCCGGCGGTTCTCTTGAGACTCTAGGAAAGTCTAAGATAGGGAGTGTTGAGGCTAGTAGATGTTTAAGGTTTGCAATGTGAAAAGCAAATAAAGATGTCCAAATTTCAGCCATGCTAAGCCACAGTATCGCTACCACACATTTACTGGTTAGTTACAATTTCTCTAGCATGTATGGGAGGAAGTGGTGGAAATGATCAGTTGTTGCTCCAGGCTAATAACTGATTCCAGCATAGATCTGGTTTGCGCTGCAAACTCTAAGCATGTTCTCTCGGTGTTCAGTGGACAGTTCTGATCTTATATGTAATGTTTACTTTCAAATTCAGATTAGGTTCTTATAGATTTCTTGCAATGCCTTCCCTATTCATGAGGATAATGAGGAAAAGAACCCTGGAGCACAGTGCTTCATATGATCCACTGTAACGTTGTGCCGGGCTGTGCCGGCCAACACACTGACTTTCCATGGAGCACCTGAGTTTGGATTGTTACACTCTCTGACCCAGGAAATTGATGTGTAGCATAAATTCTTATGAACAAGAGTTCTCAACGCTCATTTCTTTGCATTCCCTCCATAATATTCTCTTTTCTCTGATATCAGAGGCATAGTCCAGCTCGAAAGTTCCTTACAAACAGGGCTTTGTAGAGTATTGAGCCATTCATTTGTCGCCATCACAGAAAATAGAGGATAAACGCACAGATGTGGAGTCAGGGCCGAAGGGGAAATCATTGGTGTGCACTTTACTGGCTGCTCACCTAGGGAATATAATGTTCCCTCTTGGTTCTTCATGTTTCCTGTCTGTAAAGTGGTTACAATGAGCATTCGGTTGTGAGTGTCTATATGTGCACATGTGTGTGCTGTGCACATGTGTGTTACCTGTCTTGGGACAGTTTCTGGGGTATAGCAAGCAGTGTGTGTGTGTGTGTGTGTCTGTGTGTGTGTGTCTGTGTGTGTATTAATATAATAGTTCTAAGCTTGAAACCCTCTGTGTTAAGAAAGTGTCTCTAGAGTGAGGATTATTGGCATGCCCAGGTTGCCTTTGTGTGATGAATTAAGAGACAGCATAGCATGAATCAGTAAATAGCTGTGGAGCCTTTTTAGCTATTATATTTGACCTTTATCTAAGAGCTACAAATAGCTGCAAAAATGACTAATGAGTTTCTCTTACTTTCCCTTTCAAACAGCTAGAGGTTAGAAAGGGCTAGTGACGCAGACAGGTGGATGGTAGGAGGAGCTGCTAGGCAAAGGGAGTATATGTGTACATACATATGTATATTGCTATATACATGTATATATGCATATATACATACCTATGTACATGCATACATACAAACGTACACACAGAACTATAATGAGTGTAGGCTTTTCCCTTGCATAAACCCTGGGCAGAATTGTTCACCCCTTTATTACTGAAACCTGACATAATAGCCTTCACTTTCCCACTTTTCCCACTAGACAAGAAGACTTATTATCAGAAGAGTCTAACTCCAAGCCAGAAAGGAGCCAGAACTACTTCTTTCCTAAGGAAAAATTCTCTTTCTCAGGCTGGGGCTCTGTGAAGCACCACTGTGTACCTTCGTGCTTCAGTGACCCCAAGGCAATAGGCTCTGCCGCTATACTTTTCAAGCCCCTGGTATCGCTAGCTTCATTCTCTCCCCATTTCAGTCTGCAACCATGCAGGGAGGGGGCTTGGGCTAGGAAGAATATTCTGGAAGTGGAGGGATGCTGCCCCTTCTCAGGCCAAAGGGCTGCCCTACAAGAGGCAGCGTCAGAAGAGCCTGTGAGAGATGGGATGGACCCTGAGAAGTTTTTGGCAGGGATGCTAATCCCCGCCTTCCAAATGGTGGCCATGGCTGAGGTCACAGGTGACCTCTTCGCTATGGGAAATCTATAGTGGGGTGACCATTTCAAGCAGGAGTGGCAATAGGATAAAAGAAATGAGTATGAGGAAAGCCACGGGGTACCTTTGTAATCAAGCAGATCAGGTAAAGCGTGGCCGAGTAGGGGCTGTACTTAGGCAGAGGAGAGGTTACCAGACATAAAGGATCACATTTATTCATCTACTGCCCAATCCCTCCCTGAAGGTTGTGAACTAATCTTGGAGGTCTTCTATGTTCTTTGTTTTAATGGTGTGTTAATGACTGAGCCAAATGATAAAAAATGTCTTTTGAGCTCCTAAGGGCAGGCACATAGAAGGATATGGAAACAGACTGTCTACAAGTTTGTCATTGCTTGGCTTTTAGATAGCCTCCATGTGACCCGTTCATCTTTGAACAGTGCCTTCTGGTCCATTTTGTAATAGCTAGGGGAAGTGGTGTCAAATGTTACAGGTAGAGAAAACCAAGAAAGGCGAAACATCAGTGGTCTCTGAACAAAGTGCTCAAATGGTTACCTTTTGTTTCCGCAGACAAGAGTTCCAGCACTTCTCACCTCCTCCAGGGGGCCCAGGAATCGCTACCTCTTACTCAGCATATTATAATATCTCTGTGGCCAAGGCAGAACTGCTGAATAAATTAAAAGAGCAGCCCGAGATGGCAGAGGCAGGCCTGGGAGAGGAGGGAGTTGACTATGAACTGGCTCAAAAAAAGGTAAGGTTTTCGTATATCCCAAAGATTTCCAGCATTTAGCTCAGTATCTGAAGGACAACTAGCCCTTCCACACCTTCTAGCATGTCTTTCATGCCTGTGTTTCAGTATGGAAATCAAACAGGCCTTCCCGCAGTCAATTCTCTGATCAACAGTAGTAGTACCAATTGTTATCTCTCTAGTCCTTAGAACCACCCTGCTACAGGGGTGTGAGAGGAGTGTGTGTGTGTATCTGTTTGTCTCTCTGATTGTCTGTCTGTCTGTCACTGGGGACTGAACCCAGGACCTTATGTGGTCTGCACTGGTGCTCTGCTGCTGATCTAAATGCTCAACCTCAAAGAGTCTCAGTGGAAATTTTTGAAGTATTTGGGACCAACACTGGGGCCTAGCACGTGTTAGGAAAGCACTTTGCACTGAGCTGCATCTCCAATCAACCTCCCTTCCTCCCCTCCATTCCTCCCTCCTTCCTTCCCTCACTCCGCCTCCCCTTCTTCCCTACCTCCCTCCTCCCACACTTTCTTTCTTTTGTAGTGCTAGGGCCGAACCCAGAGCCTTGCACTTGCCAGGGCAGTGTTTCCCTGCTGAGTTACAGCCCTAGCCCTGCAAGATAAGTATTACTATCGCCCCCACTGTTTTTTTAACCAGTGAAAGGGACTACCTTTTCCAAGGTTACATACTAAATGAGTCCTGGACTCAAAGGCAGGACTGCATTTCTGCTCTCCCATTCTGTCCTTTTGAATTAAGCAACCTAAGTCACTGCCTAAGGCACATCAGAGCTCTGACCAATGATAGTGCCATTAATTCGTATTCTCTGTAAGTTTCTGGGAGAGAGAACAGACTGACTAAGGAGAAATTATAGGCTGAAAGACTATTATTTATTTCCAATGATGGTCAATTATCTCTTGAAAATACAAAATAGGTAAATGGGGATGTTGTTGTTGTTGTTGTTCCAAGTCTCCCTTTCTTCCTCTAAGTACCAGTAGCCCAGTTTTTTAATCAAGTTCCTGGAATCATTTTACCCCCCTTGCACTTACCTATTTTATCTCATAAGCAAATAGAGTTGTCATAGCAACCTCAAAGGCTCCAATTTGCCATTTTGTGGACATGTGAACTCAATGTAAATTGCTCTTCTGCCCATATTTCTCTTTCAGGACATGACCTGTAGGAAAACATAAGGCCATTCTCAGAAGCCCTCCTTCCATTTTCCCATCTGAAGCAAAATGTCAGGGAAATAATTGGACCATAGAAGTATCTGATTTTATTGATCCAGATGCTCTTCTTTGGACTCTATGTTTCTTGAACATGGCAGAGCTGCTCCTTGCTTACTCAAGGCCAGGACTTTCCAGGGACAGATAATGAAGAGAGATGACTGGAAATGGCAAAGGACAGAATAGCAGAGAGTCATTTGCAATGGCTGCAGGTGGGGCAGGGCAGTGTTTGTGTGTTAGGAAGAAAGGGGAGGAAGGTCATCAGTTTGCAGTGTTCCAGGAAAACAGCTCAGCTCTGGCTGAGCCTGTAATGACGGGCCAGCTTCCTCCAGTGCGTACAATACACCTTCCCCAGGCTGACGGTTCAGGCTACAGAACCCAGGTACTGAAAAGCAAAGTGCTCCCTCCCTCCGTCTTCATTCTTTCCTCAGTCCCCAAAGGGTTGGCATCCCCGGTGAGTCAGTGAAAATCCTTTGACACTGACACTGACTTCTGTATGAGAGAATGGGAGGTGACAAAATAGAGGATGTTTTGAAGCCTAGTTATGTTTCCTCATTCCTATTCCTGGGCTCCCAGTTCTTGGAAGGTTTGCTGATCTTTCCCACACTTCCAAGCACAAACATGATGATTCCCTGACTTTTTTTTTTTACAACAAGCTTTGGAACCTCTCAGTCTTGATCACCTTCAACATTTCCAAATGAACTGTTAGAAAGGAACACTCCAAACCTACCCATCCCAGAAGCTTAAACTAGAATAATCATAAATTATACACTGAATGGAACTTACTTCCTGTGTATATGATACTGTCCTCAACATGTACTAGTTCATTTAATTCTTACAACCACTCTGTGATATGGGTGTTATTGTTATCTACGTTTTCCCGTAGAGAAGTTGAAGCCCACAGAGGTTGAGTAATGTATTATAGGTCAGACCACTACTTTGTGACATTCAAAACAATCTGTTGCTAGAGTCAATGATCTTAACCACAATGCAATACTGGCTACAAAATCTGTAGGCAACCAGGATAGATAGCATCATGCCATTCAGAACCTCTTAGTTAAACAAGGTCTTCTCTCTCTCTCTCTCTCTCCCTCCCTCCCTCCCTCCCTCCCTCCCTCCCTCCCTCCCTCCCCACTCACTCACTCACCTGCTTGCTCTCACTCCCTCTTGCTTCCTATCTAGCTCACTCGTACTCGTTCTAGTATTTATCTGCACCAGGATGTTATGTTTGCACACATATATGTTTGTGTACATGTGCATGTGTAACCTGAAGGTCAACACTGGGTTTCGCATTCCGTTGTTTCTTATTCTTTTTAAGAAAGTTGCACTCACTAAACTTGGAGCTTAGTGATTGGCTAGACTAGCTCATCAATGAACTCTGGGAATCCTTCTTTTTCCATCATCCCCCAGTGTCAGGGTTACAGATACATTCTGCTGTGCCTGGCTTCTTATGATCCTTATACTTGCATGCAAGCATTTCAACCACTGATGCATCTCTCCAGCCCCTAGATATATATTCCTGACTTCCTTATAATAATAATAATGATAATGTTTATGATAACAATAACACAAATAAATGTGTGCTTGGCATTTACTGTCTCAGACACAGCAGTAAATAGTTTGCTTCTGCGATCAGGTTTACTATCAACTGTCACAGCGCCCTGGACAAAGGTAGACTGCTCTAGTTAATAGATGCAGAAGAAAGCTTTGTATCCAAAGTTTCTGAGTTTGTAGAAGGCACGATTGGTATCTAGCGGTTTATATGACTCAAATTCCACTCTACTCCATTGCCTTCTGGTGAGTGCAGTCACACAACTGATTACTGCTGGAAATTAGAGGATTAGGCTGTGGTGTTTAATTTTGTCGAGTTGATTAGATCGATAGGTGCCTGGAGATGGCAAAGCATGCCTCTGGGAGTTCTGGAAGGCGTTTCCACAGAGGATTAGCAAAGGGTGAGTGAACACACACCCAGAATGTGGGGATGCCACCATTCGATAGACTGGGGACCCAGATGTAATAAAGGGGTGAGGGCAGGCAAACCTATAGTATAGGCTCTCACTCTCTGTGCTCCTGGCTGCCACAATGAACTGAAACTTCTGAGACCACTAGCCAAAGTGTACCGTTCTTCTCTTCTTCCTTTAAGCTGTTTTGCATGGGCATTTCATCACACAAAACATACAACAAACTTAGCACATAGGAGGTGCTTCCCTGGAGAAACATAGTAAACAGTAAGAGATTGGACTTGCACTCATGAAATAGAATTAGAACAAATTAAAATGACACTGTGTCTTAGTCACTATTCTATTGCTGTGAAGAGACACTAGGACCACAGACACTCTGATAAAGAGAAGCATTTAATTGGGACTTGTTCATTGTTTTAGAGGTTTACTCCATTATCATCATGGCAACAAGACAGGCAGACATTACAGATGACAGTTTTACATCTGGATCCATAGGCATAGAGATGCATAGGAAGATCCATAGGAAGAGAGACACTGGGCCTGGCTTGAGCTTTTGAAACCTCAAAGCCCACCCCCATCTCCTCCAAGAAGGCCACACCTACTCTAACCAGCCCATGCCTTCTAATCCTTCTCAATTAGTACCACTCCCTAATGACCAAGCATTCAAATATATGAGCCTATGGGGGCCATTCCTATTCAAACCACCACACAGTGTAAAGTCTGATTCTAGAAGTTTTGTTTTACTTTGTTTGGGGATTTCTGTTTGCTTGTTTGAAGTTCTAGGTATGGAAGTCAGTATCTTATGTGTGTTAGGAACTGTATGACTGAGCTATACCCCTAGCGGTAAAATATTTCAAAGCTCCAAAAAGAAAGAGGCCACTCAGAGATGACTTCTAGAAGAGGTTTTTTCCTAGAAAGAGTGGGAGCAAAGCTGGGCCTTGGAGAAAGAACAGGAATAGCCCCACTGCAGAGAAACTGAGCAAATGGAGCTACAGAATCAATTCAGAAAGTTAAGAACGGGGGTTGTGAATATCGTGAAGTGGAGAGCTAAACCCGAATGGTTCTGGAGAGTGGAGGTAATGGGTCATATTGGACAATAATAATAACAATGGCCTACCTTTTATTGAACACTTTCTGTGCTAAGTCATATGAATTATTATTGAATCATTACCACTCGGTGTAATGAACACAACACTTACCTCCTGTCCTTCTGCAAAGAGAGAAAGTGGAGCTCAAATAAGTCAAATCATTCAGGTCCTTCAGATAGAAACTGGCAGATCTAGAGGTCAAACAGAGTCATAGTGACTGCAGAATTTTCATTCTCACTCAAAGGCCTCAAAAATGATCCAAGGGGGCCAGGACCTAGCACACTGTAATGAGCACCAAAGGAAAACATATAAAGTGATCAGCAAATATCTGATGACAATTCTTTCCAATCCGGGGCCTCAGACGCTCTCTCGCTCCCATTTATTGTAGTCTCAGTTGCATTTGGCAATGTGGCTTGGCCCATGGGTACTGCTTATCTGATAGCAAGAGCTTTAGTGGGAACATGGAAATTCCTACCCAACAGGGAGGGAAGCTACCTAACTCAGGAACCTGGAATTGCTTTTCAGTTGCTCAGGTTTCACTCTGTCTCTTTATTCTCCATTCCGTCTTTCCTTCCCCTATCCCACCTTCCCTCCCCCTCCCATTTTTAGTCTGACCATTTAGACAAGTTCTCAGTGTATAGGCCAGGTTGAAATATTCTTGCCTTCACCATCCATGTGCAGGATACAGGTATGTGCTCTGCTGAGCCCAAATCTGTTTCTGTTGAAGTCCAAGTTCATCCTTTTGTCTTCTGTTTAACTCCCTTAGATTCAGCTCATTGAAAGCATTGGCCGGAAACTTTCTGTCCTGCGGGAGGCCCAACGAGGGCTCCAGGATGATATCAATGCCAATTCTGCCCTTGGAGAAGAGGTAGAGGCCAACTTAAAAGCTGTCTGCAAATCCAATGAGTTTGAAAAGTATCATTTGTTTATTGGGGACCTGGACAAAGTGGTCAACCTGTTGCTGTCACTCTCTGGACGACTGGCCCGGGTAGAGAATGCTCTCAACAGCATCGATTCAGAGACCAGCCAGGAGAAGGTACAGATGTTGTTCCTGAGGCTGTAGCTGCAAGAAACGCCTCTTTAGCTTTTAAGGGAGCCAGAAAACAGCATTAAGAGTGTGAGCACTGGCTTTTTAGTACCACGAGATGTTCTGCAGGTTAGCTGTGTGACTATAAGCAGCTTACTTAGCCTTGTTCTGTCTTACTTGCTTCATTTATAGAATGAAATAAGCATGTAGCCTGCTTCATGTGTTTTATGTGATGGTTGAGATAATCCAAGTTAATTGCATAAAATAGTGTCCAAAACAGAGTTCATATGGAATCAGTGCTAGCTGTTAGTGGTGGTGATTGATGGTGATGGTAATGTTAGGGGTGGGGGTGGTAGCAGAAGCAGAAACAGCCGCAGCAGCAGCCATAAATTTGCCTCTGATCCCCTTAGAATTGCAAAGGGGCCCTCCATTTTATAGGTTATTTCATTCTGTTATTATTGAATTAAACTCCATTACCTTCCCCTATACAAGTAGCTTTGATCCAGGGTAAGAGGCCCCGTACACGTGCACACACCTTCAAATACACACCCCCACTCACGTACACTCACACAGAGACACCATACAGAACCCATCACCTCAGTAGTGTTTGTTCAGCAAATGGAAAGGACTTAGTTCAACTTGGCAAGAGGCTTCCTCCATACCAAACCAAGTGGTGATCCATGCTTTAAAGGCAGCCTTAGAGACAGAAAGATGTGATTGCACACACCCTCTTTCCCAAAGTGCTGTCGTGCTTGCCTTTCTCGAGCTATAGGCAAGGGAGGTTTGTCTGTAAATGCTTACAGAACAGGAAATCTAGGGCTGGTTAATTAGCAGAATGCATAGGTGCTTCCTTGGTGGAAGACTGCTGTGCAGGTGCCTGGGGATTGGGATAGCATTTAATTGGTCCTCTGCTTTCCCAGTTGGTGCTGATAGAGAAGAAGCAGCAGCTGACAAACCAGCTGGCAGATGCCAAGGAGCTGAAGGAGCACGTGGACCACCGGGAGAAGCTGGTGTTCGGCATGGTCTCCCGATACCTGCCTCAGGACCAGCTCCAAGATTACCAGCACTTTGTGAAGATGAAGTCTGCACTCATCATTGAACAAAGAGAGCTGGAGGAGAAGATTAAACTTGGGGAAGAGCAACTTAAATGCCTCAAAGAGAGCCTGAACTTGGGGCCCAACAATTTCTAATTCTGTGGGTGCCCCTGCACCCCTGCCCATCTGCAGGGGAAAGTGTAGCAGGTGCACTAGCCAAGTATATAGAAAGTACTTAGCAGATGGTTTCAGCCATCCCCCAAAGAGCCTGGGATGGCCCCAGGGCTGCAGCAAGGTGTGGTTGTACTACCATGCTCTTTCCCAGTGAGTGGGAGCCCTTCGCTGCCCATTGAACCATTAAAGTGCCTTCATCTCTGTACTAGGACACCAAAGACATCACAGACTCAGTCCTCTCCCTTGCCACATACCCTCTTCATGGTCAGTGCAAAACTGCCTTGCAATGTCCCCCTTCCCGAGGGCTAGTGACCTATCTTAGCTATTGTCCACAGATTTGCTTGAGTTGAATGCATTCACCTGATACCAGCTTTAGGCCCTCACCCAAAATTGGCAGCAGGAGGCACAGAAGGAGAGATTGCATATAAGGGGAGCAAATGTTGGTTATACCCATGTATTCAGCCTCCCTTCTAGTAAAACCCAGGTTTCAACAAAGTACTACCATGTCTACCCTCCCCAACAGCTTGACAGTTGACAGTTGACAGTGTTGTTGCTATGGCCTTCCTGCTACTTCGTTTCTTGCCCTGATATCTCCAGGAGTCGTGTGCCAGGACTTGACTCTCTTCTCCTCTAATATTTCTATTGCAACTGACTTCTGGATAGAACTTCAGTACTGAGGAAGAGGGTTCTTATTATATTTCAAATGGTCTTTGATTTTATTTATTTTTATGTTATCTTTTTTCCTCTTTCACAAGGCAAGAAGAAATGCGTTAGAGAGGGGGAGGTTAGCCAGAAGGAAAACCTTCTCTGTAGATAAGCCTGAGTCCATCCTAGCTAAGTAATCAAGTGTCCAGACATTGAATTCTTCCTACCATAGCTTCAAGTATCTAAGAAAGTTCTCCCCTTGAACTCACAGCTTCCCTACCATAGCTTGGCTGTGTGCTTACTTGCGGTCTAGATAGCCATAGCATTCCTGAACAGAGTTCGTTCAATGATTTCTAACTGCCTTTTGAAGCCAGAGTACTCTCCTAAGACTGCACAATGCAGGACGCATGAATGCGTGAGAGGAAGTGTGGACGGCACTCTTTCAACAACTGCTTTCTCAGTGGCTAGCCTCAAGCAAGCAAATCTGTGAGAGTTTTCAGCCAGGGCCCGTCTCCAGAGAAAATTATGATCCATCTAGGATCTAGACATACAGTATCCCTCCTTTTCTTCTGGGCCTGTGTGCTAAAGCATCCTCTCTGGTGGACGCCTGAAATCTTGGCTAGTTCCAAACCCTGTATTTACCACAATTGTTAATCTCGTCACTGAGGGGACTAAGTGACTGAAGAGAGGTAGCCTATATAGCATGGATACACTGGATAAATAGATGATTCATGATCCATGTGGAATGGAGCAAAATCCGGCCACACTACTCAGAATGGCACATAATTTAAAACTAATCAGTTTAACTCTATGATATTACATGTAATATCGTCAAACCGTGGTTGATCATGAAAACTGAAAGAATGGAAGGTAAAACCACAGACTAATGTACAAAGAACTGAAACTATTGCTTTTGCCAAGACCTGACATTGGTAGCCAGCTTCTGTTCTGGAAAGGCATTCAGGAGGACAATAGCAAGAGGGGAATCACCACCAAACTGCCTTTTTATTTAGCTCAGTCTTCTGTTCCTTACTAACTGGGTACAGTCCTTGATGTTATCCCTAACAATACAACAGAAGCCCCAAACCACCCAGCTCAGGCATCACCACATGTCACTGCTGAGTTCCTCAGGGTCCTCGGAGGTTCATTGTAGCTGCAGTGTTACCTCATTCAACCAAAGAATTTGCCACGGAACTTCACTGCTGCTACAAATACTGGCCACTTCTTCCATTATCTCCACGCTGTGTCTGATAGCTTTGGGAGAATCTAAGGGATAGCAACCTTTTCTGTGGTTCGTCGGGTATGCTTTTGTTTCTTAGTACTGCTGCCTCTACAATAACCACTGTTGCTATATCAGTACCGCCATTCTCCCCTCGAGTGAAAGATTACAAACTGTTTAAAGCATAACCCCAAAATCTATACTGAGCATGAAGCTCTGTAGCCGCTATTCTGTGCTATACTGTGCAGCGCTGTGCTGTGGTATGATGTGAAGTGCTGTACAAAGCTGTGCAGTGCTGCGCTGTGGAGTGCAGTGCTGTGGTGTGCGGTGCGGTGCTGTGGTGTGATGTGATGTGATGTGCAGTGGGGTGGTATGATGTGAAGTGCTGTGTAGTGCTGTGATGTGAAGTGCTGTGCAGCGCTGTAGTGTGCAGCACTGTGCAGCGCTGTAGTGTGCAGCACTGTGCAGCGCTGTAGTGTGCAGCGCTGTAGTGTGCAGCGCTGTAGTGTGCGGTGCTGTGCAGCGCTGTAGTGTGCGGTGCTGTGCAGTGCTGTAGTGTGCGGTGCTGCAGTGTGCAGCGCTGTAGTGTGCGGTGCTGTGCAGTGCTGTAGTGTGCGGTGCTGCAGTGTGCAGTGCTGTAGTGTGTGGTGCTGCAGTGTGCGGTGCTGTAGTGTGCGGTGCTGTGCAGTGCTGTGCAGTGCTGTAGTGTGCGGTGCTGTGCAGTGCTGTGCAGTGCTGTCACGTGAAGTGCTGTCCTCTGCAGTGCTGTGGTGTGAGGGAAGGGCTATGTAGTGCAGTGCTGTGCTGTTCTAGCCTGTTCTATTCAGGATGGCGGAGTACTTACCCAAAGGGAAATTGGGAGAGGTGAGGAGATGCTTTGAATAGAGGCCACACTTGCCTTGCCTTCTTTTAATAATGGGCCCTAGGACAATCGATGAAACAGTTCAGATGTCTTATACTAGGATGATGAGAGTTATGTGTTGTATCATTCGAAGATGTATGAGAGTTATGTGTTTTATCTTTTGAAGATTGTTTGGCTATAGTAGAACCAGGAGCAGTCACTGTGCTGGATATCATGGCCATAGGCTGGGTATTTTTAGCCTTTGTTATGTTTCTTATACCTTAAGTATATGATACCAAAAATACTATTAACTGTGGTTTGTGTGTGTTTGTTGTTTTAGCATTGTTGGAAGTGGGATCCAAGGCCTTGTGTATACTGGGCAAGTGCTATATCACTGGACTGCAGCCAAAGCCTTAACTTTCATTTTTGTCGTTCGTCTCACCTCAAAAGAGTTTGTAGAGTCGGATTCATAATACAAGGCTGAGTTTCCAAAGTATTTGAAAGATACCCTCAAAAATAAGCTGAGTAGCAAAGCTCAATCGACTGACACCGGCATGCCCTCCTCTTCTGCCAGTGCTACTTGGCATGGGATAGCTCTCTCTGGTCTTGGTTTCTAGGATCAGCCATCCTCCACGGCCCCTGAGGAGACAGTGGCATGAAAGTAGGTCATAAGATTGGCAACACCCACCCAAAGATTACCGGTATTTCGTTCTTTCCCTTCAAATAACTTACATAAACCTCACTGGATAATAGAAAAGCAAGGTGATGGATAGAAGAGAGCCAGTGCAAGATCGCTGTCATCCACCCATTCTCCCCCCATCCCCTGGCTCTAGATAACAGATGCTCCTCAAGTCAAATGATTGAAGACTCAGTCAAGATATAAAGTAAATACCCAAGTAGACTCTTAGAGGATGAGACAGCTATACTGGAATTAAAGCCCTAAAAAGGGAACAGTTGGATGCATAGGAAAGGAAAGAAAGTAAAAACATAAAAAGCCTCTTTTGAGACTGGGTTCATAGTTCTGTTTGCCACTTAACTTCGTGTGCCAAAAAAGATGAGTAAGGGGTACCAGAACTCCATCCTCAACTCTAGCCTTCCCCGAGGGTGCTGCTTTCCTAGTAGCAAACCTCAAATGGAAGAAGTTGGGTATACTTCTGGCTACTTCTACCCATGTGGAACTTGGCAACTCCCTCTCATTGCCAATAATAATTCTGTGGCAGAATATGGTATTATTTGAAGATTAAATTCTTAGAAGGGGTGGGGCATGGGGCCATGTATATAGATAAAGAATCAGTGTTTGCTGTACAATTTCGGGGAGTTGTCAATCCCATGCAGTGCTATTATTTTTCTGACTCTTACTGTTTGTGTGATTGTGTCCTCCACCATTCCCCTCTTGGCTGCCATTGATATGCCTGCCATATTGTCATCAAGGGTCATACTTCAATAAAAGGTGCTAAGGACAACAGAGACTGTCTTTTATGTTTTGCTTATGGAATATCAATTATCTAATATTCTGATGAAAAATAGTAGAAAAATGTGGTTACTAATCTATAGTCTTCCCTACACAGCTATATGGCCAGAGCCTTATCCATAGTCTTAAACTTATAGCCTGACACCCTAAGGATGGTATTAATGCTGTACCATTCATTATTCCCAGTAAAACAGCAGTCTGCAATAGCCTTCTTAGGGGACTAGCTTTTAGACACCTACTCCTACTCCTACTACTGAAGGATAAAAATAACCACGAGTCTTAGCCAGCTGTGAATCCTTCAGGCCACAGTAACACCTGGCCTGGCAAAACAATCCACCTGGTACAATAGTGGCACAAGCATCATAGCCTTCCCTCTGCTACCCTGCCCTCCCATCTTATCTGTAAAATGGGAAAATAATATACTGTAGGTATTATAATTTGAAATAAATTTTAATTTGCAAATAATAAAATAAAAACTCCGAGGCATATACTGAGGCATTGCTAGAAAGGCAGAATGCCAGGCCCCATCCCAAGGCCCATGACAACAGTCTGACTTTTAATTAAATTCTTGGGAGATTCATGTGTTTAATATTAAAGTTTGGAAGCACTAATACATCACAAACATACTCAGGAAAAGTAACTATTTTATAGAGTCTTGATTCTATGTTTATCCTAAATATATCTTCGCTCTTCTCATATTGATCACAGCTGTCCAAATACAGTTTCCAGATCCAAGGTTGATGTATCTCTTAGCTCATTTTGAACTGCTATAACAATGTACCCAAGACTGGGTAATTTATAGTGAATTAAAATGTACTATCTTATAGTTCTAGAGGCTTAGAAGTCCAAGATCAAGGATCCAGCACCTCTTGAGAGCCTTTTTTCTATACCTCATTACAGAAGAAGGTGAGAGGAAACAAGAGATCAAACTTAGAACTTAGGTCCTTTTACAATCAGTAGCAATAGAATCTTGAGGGTGGAGGCCTTGTGGCCTAAGCGCCTCCCACTAGGCTCATATCACTGTTACAGTAAGAATTAAGTTTTCAAAATATACTTTTTTGGAGACACATTCAAACTATAGCAGTACACAGAATCAAAGGAGCAATCTGAAAAGGAAATTAAATTATTCCTGACTGCCGCTCTTACAAAGATACAGATACATGTTTGGGGTGATGGCTATACCAGTTCCCACATCTGATTCATACACTGTTAATATATAGAAACGTCATGCCTTATTCCCAAGTACAATTCCTGTGAATGGATTCTAAATACAAAACTGATGGGTTAAAGGGGGAAATAATTTGATTAACTGTAGCATAGAAAAGAACAAAATAATTAGAAATATATTTACGAAAGTGAAACACTTTCCCATTAAGAACAATAAAATATTGATTAAAAAAGATTGGGAAAGCTCTAAACAAGAAAATACCCATATTCATGGTTTATAAGACATAATATCACTAAGATGATTATATACCTCAAACTGATTTACAAGTTCAACATAATTCTTGTGAAAATTCATACTGATTTCTTTGCCTAAATTACATTATCATCCTAAAATTCATATAGAATCTACCAGGATTCAGAATAGCCAAAACTAGCTCTAAAAAAGTATAAGACTTAGATTTTCAATTTCAAAATTTATTACAAATTAAGAGTAAAGGAGATAGTTATTATAAGTACAGTGACAAACAAATGAAATAAAGAATTAAAAATAAGCCTTCAAAATTATAGTCATTTTCAATGAGGGCACTGAAGCAAAAAGGAGGGAAAGAGGATGTGGCTCAGTAGGTAATGTGCTTGCAAGCGTGAGGACCTAAGTTCAGATCCCACCGTCAGGGTGTGATGGGATATGTCTATATCCCCAGTGCTGAGAGTTGAAGACATGCAGAACTTTGGTGGTTACTGGCAAGCCTGCCTCTAGCCAAATCAGTGAGCTTCAGGTCCACTGAAGAGACTGTCTCAGAAAACAATGTACAGAGCAATAAAGGAAATAGAATCATGAGTTGACCTCTGGCCTCCGCAGGCTCCCACACACATGCACATATGCGTGCATAAACCACATACATACAATCCAGACAATTATTTTTCTATAAATAGTATTGATGTAACTAGATACCTACATAGAAAAGATGACCTTGGACAAAAGACATTGCTCCAAAGAATATGTATGCCTCAATCTGCTTGAATTTCTGTAACTTAATACCATTAGCTGAGTACATTGAATGACAAACATTGGTTTCTTCTATTCTGGAGCACAAGAAGTTCCTGGCCAGCACTAACTGAACTTAGCAGGTTATCAAGAAATGGAGGAGGAGAAGGGGAGGAAGAATGAAGTTGGGAAGGAATGTGTTGGGGAGATGCAGATACAAGGAGAGTTGGATGAGGAATGGGAAATATGATCGTATACTGATAAATTCTACAACAGGGATGAACCTTCAACATTGTTTGTACTAAGTGAAAAGGAGCCAAAAGCAAAGGACCATATTCTATGATTCAGCTTATTCAAAAATATCGCAAATAGACAAATCTATTTGCCAAAGGACACGTTCGTGATTAGCATGGCCTAAAGTACCAAGGGGGATGAGGAATGATTGATACGGAGCATAACATTGATTTGGAGGACAATAGAAACATTTTAAAATTAGAATATCATCATGATTGTATGACTCTTCTGACGTACTAACAAGCTATTGAATCATATCTCTAACTTTGTTAGTCACAAGGTACAAGGTCTTAGTAAGTTTTATAGAAAATATTCCTTCTTTCCATCAGTTTCACTCCCATTTACAAACTGATTATCGTAGAATTCATTCCTAGATATATCATAAAACTTCTACAGACTCTGATTTCCTTCCGTCACCCGGCTCTGCACACAACATAAAGATTTTCCTTGGACTTGCAGATAAAATATCTCCAGGCAAAGGGGTTTCTTATAGAAGGGAAATTTTCTGATAAACAATCCTGCTATTAACAACATTCCCCATCCTAAAGTTAATTCCAGGCCACTTGTAAGATGACTGCATATAGACAGAAGAAAATGCCTCGTTCTGAATAGAAGGGAAATGACACCTACTTTGCATGCTGTCTACGCAGGCGCCAATTTGAGGGGAGTTGTGTGAAAGCCTCTACTCTCCAAGCCCATCTTCTGATGTGGAGTCCCGGTTCCCATGTTCCATATTTTCACCCACCTTTTACATATCCGAGCATTCACTCTTTAAAAAGGTCCTCATTCAAAGCAGTGTGGCAGTTTCTCAGAAAATTCGGGATCAACCTACCCCTGGACCCAGCAATACCACTCTTGGGAATATACCCAAGAGAGGCCTTATCATACAATAAAAGTATATGCTCTACTATGTTCATAGCAGCATTGTTTGTAATAGCCAGAACCTGGAAACAACCTAGATGCCCTTCAATGGAAGAATGGATGAAGAAAGTATGGAATATATACATATTAGAGTACTACTCAGCAGTAAAAAACAAGGACTTCTTGAAGTTTGCAGGCAAATGGATGGAAATACAAAACACTATCCTGAGTGAGGTAAGCCAGACCCAAAAAGAGGAACATGGGATGTACTCACTCATATTTGGTTTCTAGCCATAAATAAAGGACTTTGAGCCTATAATTCGGATTCTTAGAGAAGCTAAATAAGAAGGAGAACCCAAAGAAAAACATATAGGCATCCTCCTGAATATTAACCTTCATCAGGCGATGAAAGGAGACAGAGACAGAGACCCACATTGGAGCACCGGACTGAAATCTCAAGGTCCAAATCAGGAGCAGAAGGAGAGCGAGCACGAGCAAGGAACTCAGGACCGCGAGGGGTGCACCCACACACTGAGACAATGGGGATGTTCTATCGGGAACTCACCAAGGCCAGCTGGCCTGGGTCTGAAAAAGCCTGGGTTAAAACAGGTCTCAATGAACATAGTGGACAATGAGGGCTACTGAGACCTCAAGAACATGGGCAATGGGTTTTTGAGCCTACTGCACGTATTGGATTTGTGGGAGCCTAAGCAGTCTGGATGCTCACCTTACTAGACCTGGATGGAGGAGGGTGGTCCTTGGACTTCCCACAGGGCAGAGAACCCTGATTGCTCTTTGGGCTGATGAGGGGGGGACTTGATTGGGGGAGGGGGGAGGGAAAGGGGAGGCGGAGGTGGGGAAGAGACAGAAATCTTTAATAAATTAAAAATAAATAAAAAAAAGGTCCTCATTCAGGCTTTAAAACTGCCCTATGAATGTTTGGAAACTGTAATTTTGAAAATAGACACTGACAGTTGGCTCAGCGTGTTTTGTTATTTGTACATGACTTGAAGGGAAGGGTGTGGTATGATCTGTTCGCACTCTTAAAAGTGGAAAAGCTAGATGTCTCCATTCTCATGAAGCTTCCATCCTAATGACACTGATAAATCAATCAATGATTGCATAGTAATATATATATATATATATATATACACACACACACACATTTATACGCAATGAGACTACACTATCACTTTTCACCTTGTTTCGGTGACACAAAACCAATTATTGATTTTTCACAGCTGTAATCAATTCGCTAAGCTCATGAATCTTTGTTATTAGATCAAGTAGAATATTTCATATTAATTTTCACAAGAGAATAATGCTACATGAACACGAGTATAAATATCTCTTCAAAATACTGATTTAATTTCCTTAGGTTATCTAGTTATTAAATCACTGGGTCACGTCATGTTCATACTTTTAATTTTCA